TCGGTCATAAGAAGGCTCGCCTTCTCGAATAAATGTTATAGAGATGTGGATATGAGGAGGCACACCAGCGCCAGTGAAGAAAGAAATGTGCAGAACAGGCAATGATAAATCACCCTGGATTTGTGGGTGAATATACAGTGTCGATTAATGGTAACGACCTTCTAATACGATTTCGGATTGTCCTTATACCGCCTTTCCGATGTTTGAGCCCATTTATCTCTACGAAACCATCTGAAGTCTACATTTAGAGTGTAGATTTGACATCTGCTTTTGGGTTGCCTGATCTATTTTGATAAAAATTTATAAGTTTACTTATTCACAGCATTATCCTCCTTTGCCACGTATTGATCCTTTCACTGACTTCACCATCCCAAGCTTTTCGATCAAAATAATTTCCTACTAAAGCTTCTCTGTTATAGCGCTAAGCAGTTTCACTGATCTAGGTTTTTTTTTGCAGAAGAAAAGTGCTCGCGACCCTCGGGAAATTATTTGCCACGCAATTTATCTATTGGTCCGCAAGACATTTTCTGTGATTCTAAGTGTACCGATTACCTCTATTTGGCTGCTGCTGGTCATCAATCTTAATGATAAAATGTATTTCTGTGAAGTCGTAGAAGGCCTCATAGCTTCTATTGTTGGCTACCCGCGGATCACGCAGACATCATGACGTGGACAGTCAGATTACAATCAAAGGTCAGTGTACAAAATCCATTGCTAGTCATCTCACATAACCTTTGATGTCTGCACAGGGTTGACTAATGGCTCAACAGAAATAAAAAAAGAAGCAGCTCAGTTAATTTCTCTTTTATCTTACCTCATCTATTTAATTTGTGACATTCCGGTGTCTGTTGGCTTCAGCACTTTCATTTAGGTACATGTCGGACAATCACAGAATGATCTTAGAATTCCAAATTTTGAAGTCATTATCAACGTGTCTTAGCCTCACTCAGCAGTCTCATAGTAAACTGGGGACCATTGTATAGCATGGAAGAATTTTTCTCCAACATGGACTTGTGTCTCTGCTGTGATTGCTTTAAAGTATTTCTCTGATTACTAAGCGAGAGGTGACAGAGTAGAAATATTTAAGTAAGCTATTTGAGAAAAGTTGGTGAGTCGCATTGCTACTTGTTTGTTTGTTAAATAATCATTCGTGGTTCAAATTCTATCCTAACTGTTTATTTGGCCCATTTCCAACTATTCTTTCCTGTCCACCAGTTTGTCAATATTAGACGAGCTATAAATCACACGCTGAATTTAAAGCAATGGAGGAAGAGGAGGAGGAGGAGGTAGCGTAGGAAGTAGCGCCCTCAAAATGTGCGCCTTCCATAAGGCTACCCTTCGGCTTTGGGTTGTGTGTCAAAAAAATGTAGAGCTGGTGTTTTTGAACGAGAGACTGCGCATTGTAATATTTCTGGTAGACTAGAAATGCTGATATTGTATTTAAATGTTTGCAACTATAAGCGTTCCTTATTCTCTAAGCTTCCTTAAAATTATGCGGTGTTTGCATTATACTTCAGTCCCTCTCTCCTTTAGCATAATTTCTACATAAGCTTCCAGGGGCCTACCACAGTCTATTTTTATGCATTCACCTATCCGTCCCTACATTCGCCCTAATTCCTAGTATTAATACCGCCACGACCGCACTGACACCTGAGAAATTCATTCGTTTGAGGGACACGACCTTAAGCATCATCGAATAAATCTACAGCATTGTTGCTCCCATGGCTTAGTCCTTTTTCACTCATCGTAAAGAGATATGGATAACCGAAGACCTTAATTATTAGTCTTTTATTTGCTTTGTGTTGTGTCCGTCAAGATGGAGCGGCCAAATCCAAATTCATCGTTTGCCTTGTCAGATCTTCACATAAAATGAATCGTTGTGGAAAAACTAGATTGGCAATTTCAGTATATTTCCATGGGCTGTCCCTTCGTACAATGCTTAAACCTTTTTAAATACCCAATAAAAAAGGAGACAAACTCATTAATTTTACTATGGTCTGAATGTTTCCCATTGTAAAAAGGCACTAAATTGCTCATTCATGTTACCATTCCCCCATTAACCAGAACCACCTAATTTGTTCAGAGTTGTCTCATCAAAATACACGGCGTCTGGTTACAGAATGGTTTAGACGCATGTCAAATGTGGGTCACCACAACTGCCAGGTCAAAGTATCACCCTACCGCTAATGTACAAATATGCCTTTGGTATATGTTCACAATCTGTCTCTCTATCGACAGTCCAGGCATAAAGTAGTTCATGGATTTTCATCTGATATAAAGCGATGTAATTTATCCTGCGGTTAGGAATACTAAGACAAGTCTTTCACCAAGTGGATGATGCTGAAGAGCCAGGGCCTGATATCCTAAAAATTGGAGAGGAGAGTATGGCAAACTGGCTAATTTGTCATCTCACCGCATGAGCTCACCCCTCTGAGCCTCCTCACATAAGCTGCACAAGCCAGATGTTCGAAACATGTGACCAGCCTGAGTCTCACTGTCCTACCATGCTAGCGACACGTGTCGTCAGGTCAGTAATCACTAAATCCTCACATTGTGAGTCGCGCATCGCTGATGAATGACAGCTGAACTGAGCTCCAATGGTAGTTTGATTTTTCAGCCATTATCTGTCCATCTACCTGCATATAACTTTGGGATGTTTGAGCGAATTTGGACGGGAGGAAGGTTTGAAACTTTAAGCACCTTAAAGCATGCAAAACATCGGAAATTTAAAAAACTTGTATTAAAAGATTAATTGAATTTCTGATGGTGTAATCCATTAACATTTACTGAGATATAGGATAAAAGTGACTAAAGGAGTTGACACATCATAATTGATAATTGACTAATGTGCTACCCATCTATACGAGACGATAACACAATTTATTTGGCAAGAAATCATATGGTTTTTGTTTTCTGAACCACATTTCTACATCTAAGTAATCCCTCACGAAAATTTTTACAAAACGAAAACAGTAGAGGAATTGGTGGTAGACTTTGGCGTCTGTGATGCCCGGATTCCGCCCTTGACATCAAATGAATTATCATAAATAAGTAATCTAATCATATTCTCAGAAAACCCATCAAAATTCTACAAAATCTTGCTACATATCTTGCCGATTTAAGCACCTGACCGTCAGTCATGTGTGAAACATTTGAGGGAATGTTCGGTGCGTCATCCATAACTTCGTTGCACCAAAAGTCCAACTCTGACATTTAAAGGATCACAAGCGTCAAGACCAAGCGTTTGATGCAACAAACACATTTAAGGTTCCATTTAAGGTTTTAAATTTAAGGTCCATCACAGCGTAGCCTACTGGCTGACAGGCTGTGAAGAGTCTAATTATTTGCAAGGTAAAAAGCGCACCAGCATCGCATTTACAGTATTTTTACTTATTATATTCTCATATTATTTTACTTTTATTTATCCATGTGCCCAAATATGTGTATTACCATACATTTTCGTCAATAAGTATGGTAGGCGCTAATTTACCACACAAATACTCAAAGATCTTTGGTGGGATAAGGTGACCATCAAAAATGGACTCCTTCATTGCTCCCTGGATATCTAATTTGTACCCATTCATTCGTCGATCCAACCCTAAGGCCAAATATATTTACTGAGAAATTAACACCCAGCAATGCGTTTTACCACTTTTCGCTTTGAGCTCTTTTTAAAGTAATTGCCTGTCGATGCATTTTGAGTTAAAAGGTGCCTCCTTGACTTTGCATATTTCGTTAACATCCGCTTCAGCTTTGACTGGGGTCCTCCTGCGGCAGTATAGAAGAAGCACTCTTAAAGGTGGCGCAGCATTATATTTATGCAAAGGGATGGAAGTGCGCTACTTTACTCCACTCGCACAATGATAATCTAAACCTACCTCCAGGAAGAACTCAGACCAGAATCCGGTAGCTGCAGACATGTCAGTGGTGGAAGCTCAGACGATGGAATTCAGCACTGCTCCTTGTATGCCACGAGAGCGACGCCTACATGTTGCTCGCAGTGAGGGAAATAACGCAAAATGGATAGACAAGAGAGAGTTTTCCTCCGCTTTCGCTCAGTGTCAAAAAAATCTCAGATACCGGGATAAAACATAATTTTTTGTGACAAATATGGAGTCACAAATGTTGTTCAGCCCCATGTTGATGGTTTTGTGTAAGAGAAAGGGTTTGCATTTAACACAGGGCAGTTTGATGGAGTAAACAATTCATTTATAATGAAAATTTACACATCTTTCGGTGTACTTTCACATTTAATGCCGGCTATTCCGAGATGGAAGTAAGTTTACTCGTCCCGAAATGCAACAAATACCATAGCCACCGAACGCATGAAGAAGTGACTTTAGGTGTAAGGTGGTTCATAACTGTTTCCGATTAGAATGCTCTCGCCTCAAATCGCAGTCCAAAGTGCCAAGTCTGACAATGAGGAAGAAAAAAAGCAAGGAAGAAATTTGGCGTAGAACAAATTAGTCATTAATATTGAAATTTGACTACATTATTTTGTTTCAGTCTCTCCACTGAATTGCCTCATTTCATAGTTTTCAAAACTTGAGGACCGTGAGTTCTCAAGCGAACGTATAAGCAGACTCGGAGGAGCATGTTAAAGAAGTGATTCCGCAAATGTACCTCATTTTGGGCCCAATGCAACGTGTTGAGCACCACAGATGAGCAAAAGAGCATTCACCTATAGGGCGCATTCTTCCTCTTTCTTTGCTGCCACCCCAACAGTCACACCTAAAATAGTTGTATCACATAACCTAACTGACTCAGTCCAAATAATCTCACCGATGCTCAATGATAAAGGGCTCTCCGAAAAGACTCAACTACCTTACCATCTCAATAATTTTGCCTTTTTATGATAAAAGAGAAATACTTTAAAATTGACAATAAATGGGGTAATAATAGCTATGGTTTTAAAGTCAACAACCGGTGGACGTGATAAGGGAAGAAATAGGAGTTTGCCTGGGGAGGCTGTGTAACTTGATTTCGACACTTGAGGTCTGCTAATGTTTTCCTGTCTTTGACTGCTCCATTTTCTCCTTTGCAAACTTTTTGCGAGCTGCTGCGATTTGATACGATGATGCACCTAGCAACACCGTAGAAGGCACCATCTTTGACTTAATAATCCAAAAGAGACACAGAGCATTAGGGGTGAATAAATTTTACAATTAAGATTTAAACACTGAGACTACCGTCGCATTTGAGGTTCCGACTTTTTCTTCTTTATTCCATTCTTCATCGTCTCCTCCCGCATTCAAATCGCTCGCCGAAATGTTAATCACAGTGTTGAATAAATTGGCAAAATCGGATGGAATTTCGTCGACTGGAAGACCAACAAACTCCTCACCGACTGCAGGCACCAATTCTTTATCAAGATCGGCAAAGTAGGGATGCAAAAGTGCTTGCTGTGCACTTATGCGAGATAATGGATTTTGGATAAGAAGCGCCTAAGTTAAAATGACGAGGTGGCTACATGCGAATATACACTTTTCCTTCTTGGGCATGATATAACAATGCTAATAAAGGGATAAAAGCTGTTGTGAGTTAAATTGGGTATCATGTCCGAGAATAGCAATGGACTTAGAAGGATAACAGATGTAATGAAAAATAAGAAATAATGGGACATAGTGGCCACTCACAGCTAATAAATCAAGGCCCCTTGCATCAAGAGCATGCTTGATATTTTCTTGAGAGCACAGTCTATTGGTGTGCCAAGATGGGAAACATTTGGCATTAAAATTGCTTAGCCGGTTAACGCCTGGCCAATTTTCCTCTGTCGGTACCCCCAATATATGGAAAATGCGAAAAAGTTGATCAAGCTCGTTGTCACCACAAAACAGAGGATCTCCTGTGGCTATTTCTGCAAATATGCAGCCCATAGACCACATATCGACACCATAACAATAGACAGTTTCGCCAAGGAGAAGCTCAGGACAGCGATACCACAGAGTGACGACCTATAATATTTAGGGTTTGGTCAGATACACTCTTATAGAAATTGCAAGGAATGAAGGAGTTACCTCATGAGTCAGCACGGGAAGCGGGTAGCCGAAGGATTTAGCTAAGCCGAAGTCAGCCAACTTGATAATATTCTTGTCCACATCTACTAGAACATTTTGGGGTTTTAAATCACGGTGGATAATGCGCCTTGTGTGGCAATACGCAATTGCTTGCAGCATTTGGTACATGAACAACTAAAGGAAAATAAGTGAAAGCAAGATTCTACCTTAACAGTGCTTGAAGGCAGTCTAGTGTGCTTGCAAGTAAGATCTAGATATCGTCTAAGGTCCACAGTTAAATATTCAAAAATTAGATATAACTGGCCGCTATCCAGGATAACCTGTTCTAACCTAGGGAAGGTAACGCAAGCATAAGATTTACGTCACAACATTGGGGTGATCCAGTTCCTTTAGAAGAGCAATTTCTCTGAGAGCAGTCGTAGGGACGCCCTCATCAAACCTCTCAAGCTTAATTTTTTTCATGGCCTTAAGTTGTCCCGACTTTCGATTGCGGCATTTGTATACGATTCCATATGAGCCTAGAGTAATAGAGTAACAGCTTTTGTCTAACCTTCGCCAATTTTTTCGAGTCTGTGAAAATCAGAGAGAGTATAGTTCGACGTCTTGGGAAACATCCAGAACGACGTTTGAGTGAACTAAGGTTATGACTGGTCAACTGAAGGTCATCGAACTGTTAGTTCAAACATTACTGTTCCTCAAGCTGCTAAGATTTTTTTAATCATAAGAAAAATGGTAAATTTTGACCATCAACATTATCCATACTACTGAAATTCTAGATGAACTTATTTAAAGCTTAATCTGGGAAGAACTTACAATATCCAGTTTCTATGGGTTGCAAAATATTCGGCTTGGATTGATGTTCCATTTGGCTACTTACAGTATAAGCAGCTTATCCGCCTAAAGAAAACTCTGATAAAATACTAAAAGAATTTTAGTTTTATTCATTAAAAAGTGATATTTTAACTTAACCACATGCTGGGTTGTATTAAAAAGGCCAGAAATTGTGAGCATTAGAATAATATCATGAATTAGTGCGCATTAAAAATGTTTCGTTCTGTACACACAGAGCCGGGAAATTTATTTGACGAAGAATACTGATCAAATCGTTCACTTCTTCTACCCACATTTTTTCGAATTACAATTACTAACATTTTGCTTGTGATAAATCTATTTACTCGCCTTAAATTTTTAAACTCCTGGGGAAGAAAAACTAGACTAGGAAACTGTTACGCTTGTGACATTTTATGCGATACTTACTCCCTTCAAGGATAATGTAAACATTAGGAGTATCTCAAAACGACCACGTTAATGAATGCCCTACGTTTTACATGCCCCCTCCCATGAAAGGTTTTTTCGGTCGCACTAGACGCTGGTATCATCCTTGGCATCGTCTTAGAACAGTGTTGCGACGCCTTATTCCCACTCGACATTGATCAACAAAATAAGCCTCCCCTTAGAGATTTTTTCCCGTGCTAACATAAAGTGGGCGAAAGTGACGAGGAGTGCACTAAGATTTTCAGACAGGATTGCAGGATGAATAAGCATCCAGTTCAAAATTTTAGTTCGACGACGCATTATGGTCGAGAAGCTCTGCTGTGCAAGGACCAACTTTTTTTGCCATTTGGTCACGTTCTCAAATAAGAAGTGGCAGGCGTTTCTTACATTCGCTTATAACTATTTTACTAATGGGATGATTAAGCTCAACAGCCTCTTATCGTGTCCCTTTACGCTATACCTGGTCATAATTCCAGCTGAATCTATAATAAATCTTAATGCTTTCCTCACTCTTTATCACGAGATTATGATCGCATGTCCTTCCACCAGATTATGCTCAGCAAAAAAAATAAGACTGCATTAAAAGGGTAGGGATCGTTAAATGTCCGCGTAGGCAGCATAATCTAGGCACATGTTGCACATAATAATTCCTTCAGAGCTATTGCGCTTTCAGCCTTTCACTTTTAAGCATCCCGCATCTATTAATTAAAGCAATGATCCATTCCTTAACTATCCATTCCCACACGCGCTTGATCTCTTCCATTCACCAATTCATTTACTACTTTACGGCTTATTTCATGCTCCATTATACCCATTCCCTCGTTTACTTGGTAGTTTATCTAACCATTCCTGCCTCCGTCTACTCTCTAGAATAGACTTCACATCTTGACATCGGATGAGAATGCTCCAAGTTGAATGCTTGCACATATATCTGGCACAAAGTCAGCTTTCTTCGATGCCTTACTAATTTCTCACCAATTTGAGCGTTTTATTGCGACCGAAATTCTATTTTCCTCGGCTTGTGTTTGTTTGATACCTGGTGCTAGGTCTTTTTAAGCAGACATATAAATGCCTTAACTGAACAGTTGCAAGATGTTCAACAGTTGAAGATCATCAATTTGATTATAATCCCGTTAACGATTACGAATTGTCTGTGACAGAAAAATAATTAAAATTTCAAAAACAATATTTTAACAGTAATTAATTAGGTTCTTGGGAACACTTGAGTGACAGATTTACTAGGCGTTGCCTGCATAATAGCTGCATTTTAAGCAGGACATTATTCTCAGCGTCACTTATTCATTAAGCCTGTCTGTGAAATGCATTAAAGAAGAGGGAGGAGTAGTGTTTTCATGCCAATGGAAAATGGATGATGTTTTAATTTTTGTCCATTTGGTATTTCCATTGCAAATTGCAAAGGAAACAGACCCGATAAGACACGGGGTCAATAAATTTTAAGGAAATCGTATTTTTGGCATCAATTTTACTCTCCTATTTTGCTCTTCTTTAGGTGCTACTCAGACATTTATTTATCTGAGTTATATTCCTCTAGTGGGAGGTGGGGTAAGTATCACCTAATCATCTAATTATTATCCCTACGTAAGCACAGTAGACAGCCACATAACAAAATTTTCGAAATGGTTCACGCTTAGTATCACTTCGCTGATGATACAAATTCCGCAGAAGAGCACAGTCGTAACCTTTACGGTAGGAGGTTATGCAGACTGGTTTATAAACGGCAGACATCTTTCTTCTGTCACTTGAGGTTTATCATCCTATGCCCAACCTCGGTGTTTAGTAAAGATGCTGTTATTAAGTTCTTTGTATCTGAACGAGGACTTGTCGGAGCCCAAGCACATGAAGAAGTTGCATAAGTGAACGAAAATGCAATTGCTACGCCTGACAACATGATCAGCCTAGTTAAAGCAATCTTACCGAATAATGCATTTGAGGCAAATTCTGAGCACTACAACCTACTGATGAATGCTTGTACTAGGTAAGAACTCATATTTGGGAATTGCGATTTTAATCAGCCTGGTAGACCAATTAGTACAGGTTATTTACTAAAATGAGCAAGACGTAGGCAGCTAGGCAAACAGGCAGTGGTAAAGCATTTTACTCTCTTTTAGGCACACCTGGATTTGCTATTCTGTAAAACACCCAATTCTCCAAATTGATAAAAGAGATTATCGCTTACTTTCATCACTCAATGTCCCTTGTTTTTCAAGTCATTACATTTTATTTAACGTAACGAATTGAAAATCTGTGCTTGTATAAGCCAGTGCATAACCGAGACTGACAAAAGTTG